ATACAGGGCTGAGCTTTGTACAGGCCGCTCTGAGCATCTGAGCATCTGATACAGGGCTGAGCTTTGTAAGCGCCGCTCTGAGCGTCTAGGCGTCTGATACAGGGCTGAGCTTTGTTACAGGCGCCTTGAGCATCTAAGCATCTGATACAGGGCTGAGCTCCGTAAGGGCCGCTCTGAGCATCTGAGCATCTGATACAGGGCTGAGCTTTTACAGGCGCCTTGAGCATCTAGCATCTGATACAGGCTGAGCTGTAAGGGCCGCTCTGAGCATCTAGGCATCTGATACAGGGCTGAGCTTTGTTACAGGCGCCTTGAGCATCTAAGCATCTGATACAGGGCTGAGCTCCGTAAGGGCCGCTCTGAGCATCTGAATATCTGATACGGGGCTGAGCTTTGTTACAGGCGCTTTGAGCATCTAAGCATCTGGTACAGGGCTGAGCTCTGTAAGGGGCGCTTTGAGTATCTGAGCATCTGATACAGGGCTGAGCTCTGTAAGGGGCGCTCTAAGCATCTAGGCAATCTGATACAGGGCTGAGCTTTGTAGGGGCGCCTCTGAACATCAGAGCATCTGATACGGGCTGAGCTTTGTTACAGGAGCTTTGAGCAATCTAAGCATTGTACAGGGCTGAGCTTTGTTACAGGAGCTTTGAGCATCTAAGCATCTGGTAAAGGGCTGAGCTCCGTAAGGGCCGCTCTGAGCATCTGAATATCTGATACAGGGCTGAGCTCTGTAACGGACGCTTTGAGTATCTAAGCATCTGATACAGGGCTGAGCTTTGTTACAGGCGCTTGAGCATCTGAGCATCTGGTACAGTGCTGAGCTTTGTAAGCGCCGCTCTGAGCATCTTAATATCTGATGCAGGGCTGAGGCTTTGTAACGGACGCTTTGAGCATCTGAGTATATGGTACGGGGTCGAGCTCTGTAAGGGGCGCTCTAAGCATCTGAGTATCTGAGCTCAAGCATCTAAACAAGACGAAGAAGGACCAAAAATGCGCCTGCCGTCAACCTGTAGTCAAGCATCCAGTATCACACCTCTCGATTCTAGCTTGAAATCAGGCAAATTTGAAAAAATATATCCGTGACGACTGTTCCCTTTTTATGGCTTTTCATTATCGCCTCATACAAGCTGGTTTAAGTAAATCATCTTGGTTTATGGCGGTCTAAAACAGTGCATTAAGTGTCAGTCCTCGAAACAATCCACATTTTCCCTCAAAACGCATACAAGAGCATTTCCCTTGGCATGATGTTCTCGTCGGTAGTTGAAGAGAAGGTGACACAAAAGTGATATATTCCTTTTTCGGCCACAGGCCTTTATCCAAAGAGTTGATACCATAGATGTGCCATTGATGAATAAATTGATTACGTGAGTTACTGCTCGCACATGTGTTGTGCAAACTGTGTCGACAAAGATCGGTATCCGTGACATATCCGTATTTTGTCATCTTTTTGCAAAACGCAAACTAGCAATGCGGCCGAGCGGAGTACTGCTAGGTACCCTGAAATGTTACTTACAGCTGCACAAAACAGCTTATGTGGAGCTCCTTAGCATGTCAGTGCAACGATGAAATACGATTATTAAAGAATATTAATCATTTTAGTTAAATGGCTAATTAACTTGACATTAAATTGGGCTTTAAATGGGACTATATTTTGATTGCTAGACTGCTTTTGCATTTGCAGATAAACCACAGCGATCCTATCTCCGGAGCTTTATCCAGTGGATGCATGTACATGCAGTTCGCAGCGGTACATAAAAGAAAATTTGTGCTTGTTTCGAAGACCACTCAGTCATTTCAGTGCAACATTGCAATTCTTAATCGTGATTTGCACTTTATTTGTTTCAAGTTGTAACAAAATATTGGGTAGTGTTGTTGTCATAATGACGCATAAAGACGAACCAATAAACGTGATGTTTGCATGCAAATGAACAGAGTCCGTAAATGATGCACCATCGATCTTATCTGCCACAATTGTGCTTCTTGCAGAAGATGACACCTTTATCTCTGGCATGCCTCCTCTTCGTAGCTTCCTTTTCTGGTGAGTTTGTTGGTATCAGTTTTATGGTGAGTATATATAGTATATCTGGTGTATATATAGTATATATAGTATGTCTGGTGAGTATGTATATTTTATTGGTATCAGCGTCATCTTATAGACGTCAGCGTTATAGTAAATCAATGAACCCAACCTAACTTCTCTCTGCCCATACACCCAACCTGACCTTTAGCTCTAATTGGAGCCAAACGGAAAAACGGTGACCAACCCTTCACTCTCAATGCGAGTGAGAACGGATGCCGCCCGGCAGGATCAAAGGTAGCTGGTTACCCGATGTCTCATTTTGTGAAAGGTACGTGCGTGACAGGGTTAAGGACACCAAGTCAAACCGTGCCAAATTCAAAATAGCTAAAAGGTCACCGATTTTGCATTTCGTGAGCCAGGTTGGTTAGCTTAAGCTTGTGTTTGTAGTACAAGGTAGCTTGTGGTACTCATGACATCAATTTGGTCCTCAATAACACGACCCAGCATAACTGTGTCCAGCAGGAGAGCGTTTATCGGATGGTTTGCCGTTACATTTGGCTGCAGTGTGACTGACGCCACTTTGTACGCAGGTGAAGCACTGGCTGCTACTCCGAGCAAATTGGTCCTCGGGATCGCCAGCAACCTAGGATGTGGAGTCCCCGCAGACGTAAACGACTGCGTCCTAGCCAAGCTCCGGTCCTTTATAGACAAAAGCAAAAATGCCCTGATTGAAGGTAAAGGCCAAAACAGGAGGGTGACTTGATTGCGCTTTTCTGTTCTGCCCACTTCGGTTTAGTCTCTGTTCCGGTCTTTACGGGTTGGGCACGCCTAAGGGATTGAGGGTTTCATGTATAGCGGGCAACGAGTTGCATTGGGTCAGGAGTAGACACACGGATGTCTGCAGATTGTGCAGCCCAGTGCTCACACTGGATCTCTGTCGTAAAGAGGCATCTCAGATTGAACGGGCTCTTAAATGCTTTATGGTCCTGTTCATGAGTATCACTACTTTGTATTGCAATGCTATTGAACCATACATTATTTGAAAGCAACGAAATACACGAAGTAACATGCTGTCTCGTGCTTACATAAAGTCTCCTGCCTTTCGTTTAAACACACAGGCGACCCAAATGCCGTGTAAAGGATTGTTGGATTATACTTGAGCACGCGATAGTTCCATACGCAATCCCAAACTTTCAGAGGACCCAGCAAAAAGGAGGGCTGCCCCATTCTTGGGTTCGCATTTTAGTTTAATTTAGCACCACGGACCGCTCTTTCGGTTCTCATCACGATGAGTGTTTCCAGATCGTGCCGTTATCCCGCCGTTTCTTGGCACTATACGACGAAAGAGTCTCACATGATTGAGTCCCCCTCGCGAGTTTCGTTTGGGAACCACCCACCGCACAGCTGCTGCCCATCCTAGCTCGGCTCAGAACTAGCGACCTCTCTCAACCATTACGTCATTAAGTTGTTTGCCTTGCTGCATCACTATCGTTAGCCACAACTGCACCGCGGTGCCTTTTGAAGGACTTTAAAAATTTATTGGTAAGTAGAAATATGTATATTTGCACACCTCGTCATCAGGCAAGGTGGACAGCTGACGTTGTACAGTCTCTGTAGTTGATAGACGTCGAAAGAAAATCACGGGTTTAATGGGTATGGGAGTGTCTTGGTTGATACACAGCCTACCGATGCGATATAAATTCAAAACGGATGCATCGGTCGAGTTCATTGATACCAGACAACCACATCAATTATTACAACTGTTGTTGATAATGTATCACAGTGATGATGTATGATAATGATAATGCATGTTGTTGACAATGCATCCGCACAACCAGCGGCCAAGACCAGGTACGGCGGCGTGGGCTCCGACCCCATTTCGAGGATCGCGTTCCCAAAGAGGACTGTGGGCATCTTCTCCGTCTCTGGTAGCCGCATCAAAGTGACCGGACTCTCCACGCTCCGCGTCACCCACGTAAAGTGAGTACACAAATGAAACTCCTGGCAAGTTAACATGCCGGCTCAGGATTTGACTGGAATACTTTCCGTTGGTGGATGTCAGCAACGATGGTACTGCAAAGCAATGCGGACCAAAATGAACGGAATAAATCACTATTTGCTTTGTTTACACGCCGCTATAATAAGCAAAGATTTGAAAGAGGAACAGTCGACACAATCGCATTATATTGTAATAACCCGTGCCACCATTCACGGAATGAGGTGGCACTCACTTGTTCCAGCAGATATGTAGCTCTTACTGAATAATGGCGCAACGGTGCATAGCGAGTGCATCATCTCTGTTAAGAACACGGACCATATGCAAGTTTCTGATTTAATTTTAAAATTAAATCTAAACTAATCGCTTCTGTAGCGTAACGTTGTCCTTGTGCGACGTTACCATCGATATCTGCTAAAGTAAACCGGAGACCCGGAATTTCAAATACCGCAGGCGCACGCCTTCTGAGTCAGCACCCCTTCGTGACTTGAAGGAAACATACAACATTTTTACATAAAGTTATCCGAAGTAAAGATGGAAGTTCAAGAGAACTAAATGTTTTCGGTTGCATCTTGACGCGCTTGCAGTAAATGCGTCGAATTTCGAATCACAAACAATGGGTACCGTCAGTAACTTTTTATTGTTTTTTTCTTCTAACGGGTGCAGTTAGTAACTTTCTCACGTGGGGGGTACAGGTTCAAACCCTTTTCGACATGTCCACTAAGCGTTAATAAAACCACTGTAGTTGCTGATGTTTGAAAAGGGCACGTGACGGCCTGCGTCGTGTTCCTGTTCTAGACAGGAGTAGCTATAGGACTAAGCCTGGTAAGTGTCGATTACCGTGAAATGAAATAATGTCCTTGCCTATTTGCAGGCTGTTTGGCGATTCTGTGCTGACGATTCTTCAGGTGAAGAAGTTGGTCATCAAGGGCCAGTTCCTCTTGCAATACTGGCCGATTCAAGCAAAGATTTACCCTCACTCTCACTATGGGTAAGAAAATATCAAAATAAACTGCGTAAAGGTATGATCGTTTTCATGATTAATTAACGTTTGTAATCTCACTCATTCTGTGAATTTGAGGGACTGAACAGTGAACAATGACAGCCAGCCCCAAAATGCACCAGCAAACAGTTTTCTCTCCTAATTTGGCCCGCATGTTCTCCAAGTTGGGGGTGGAGGTTGAAGCCCATCAACTGGATAGGAAGCCTACATCCCAAACGCCAAGCCTTAACGCACCTGAAGGACTTAATGTGAAGCAGTTGCATAGGATTGGATGGCTCATTCCAAAGCTGCATAAGGAATAAATCCACTCCTTAAATGCGGCTTAAATATTGGCATGCAAATGCCTGGAATGTCAATGTTATGACCTCTTTCAAAACGCTGTTATCTTTGTATTTGACGGTGGAAGTCGATTCATACGCATTTAAGGCCTTTAACATGTGTTAGACAGCAAACAACACGAGTTTTTTCCGACGCCAAAATCTACGTAAGGAAAAGCGCCGCAAAGGCCTGCACGGACTGAACTTCCCGCGCATAAGTCAAGCACGCAAAATCACAGTAACATAACCAAAAACCTCAAACTGATTTATTGCCAGACACCTGAATGACAAACATTTTGGAGACGAATACGCAGCCCGTTCCAGTGCTAGGTCGCGCGTCGTCCGCCGTCAAAGACTTCAACGCTTGCCAGAGCTGGCTCTCATTTTTGCTTCGTGCTGGGGCCACAGTGACATCAGTACGCGTACCTGTTTTCCATAATGCTAAAGAGCCGGATTGAGCTGCCCTGACTTATCCCGTGAAAAATACTGTTGGCCGAGCTCAAGCACAACCATCTTATTATCTATCTTGCATATGAGATCAAGGCGAGTGCGAGATTCCACAGCTTGATGTGTGCATATGACAAACGTTTGCAACAACACCACCTCGCCCCATACAGCCGCAATGGGCTGTTAAGACTATGACCAGCCCAACAGCTTAGCTGTGTCCTCACTTTCACATCCATAATATCAGCGCCGAAAAAAAAATTATAGGTATGATATTGCAACCAACAACGATAGCCCATTTCCCATACTAAAAGCATACTGACACCATGCTTCTGGCACAGCTTTTATATACGGTCACTCGGCAGTGGACCCGTTTCATTTCTTGCCTATTTGGCTACGGACAGTGCAGCTGTGCAATACCAGGACGGCTCACTCTGCGTGTTAATAGGCCGTGTGCGCAGCTTGAGTATTCCACTTGTTGAGTGCCAGCGGCGTATGCTAATGGCACATGGGACATAGGCAGTTGCCCGTTCAAACTTCGGACCCTTGCAACGTTTCTTTACGAGTCCATTAGGCCACATAGCATGGTGGATATTCAGTTCGAGGTAGCCTGTTCACTGTAGTTTCTATTTTCCTGCCGCTGTGGTTTTCCAGTCGGCCCTCATGCCTTTCTTTTTGACAAATATGAAACCGAACGATCGCGGCTTTACATGTCGCTTGTTCCTTGAGGCATTGGGCAGCCGACTTCTTTTTCGTCTGTTATCGGTTGCCTCTTAAAGGATTGTTGGTGAAAACCTGTTCATTGTTCTCGTTCGGGAAAGCATGGCAGTAGTTGTCAAGTAGCCCATACACTTGTTGAAAGCTTTCTGACGGTACGATGAATGGTTCCCAATGTTCAAAGGGCTAACAGCTGGGCCGGGTCGGGCCGCTCATGCTACAGAATGTTCGCCTGTTTGATGTCAAGACAAACTCAGTCTGTATTCTCGCTCGCATGAATCTAGCATGTTTATCCTCATAACGGCACGGAAATCGAAAGTAGTTTCTAGGAATCCCCCAGCATCCAAATCCAGGTGGCACATCCAACATCGCTGTCATGTTTTTCTATTCCTTCGGCCCTTTTGTACCAAGGATCCTCACACTTAATGTCGTCTCCGCTTGTGATGGGGACGATGTGACGGCCAGATTTCCCGAATGTTCCATTTTGGCATTTTTTAAGCGCCAAACACAGCAAAGTCCGATTACTTTTTCTTCCAACGACAAAGATATAAAGCTGCCCAGGGTCCGGCTGCTGATGTTAGCCATGAACCCTAACTGGTTTAATCTGGCTCATGACGCCTAAAAAATTAGGAAACTAGTCTCTTCGGTTGCCGATGTCGTTCTCAGGCACAATTCTTTTTGCGTTAGGGTGTCAATGTGTGCACGCGTTTATTGTGTGTATGCGTGCATGTGCACTGGTGTCTGTGAAAGAGTTGAGGCTGTCCAACTTTTTCAGACATAAACATTACCGAAGTCTTTTAAAATTAAGATACATTTCCAACCCCATTGCCTCTCTTGTCTTATGAAAAGTGGTGCATAAGAAAGAGCAAAATATGTCCCGAAACTCTCCGGTAAAATACTGAGTATGTATTTTTTAAATATTGCATCGGCGGAACTGTTTGCCTGTAAAACACACACACACGCACGCACGCACGCACGCACGCACGCACGCACGCACGCACGCACGCACGCATGCACGCGCGCGCACACACACACACACAAGAGGCTATTGGGTTGGCAAGGTATCTTAATTTTAAAAGACTGGTGGTGTGTTTATGCTTGAAAATGTTGAACAGCGTCAACGCTTCCATGTGTATGCGCGTACGTGAAGGCGCGTGCTTGTAAAGTGATAGAGATATATGAATAGATATCAATTGTGTCGCGAAGCACGACAGCATATCGTCTCTCACGTTTTACGAAGGCTGGCCAGGACGAGGATGACCACCAACCTCGCGTTGCAGGTGGTGTAATAGTGTCAGGGAAGACAACTTTCAGCGGGGCCTCGGGGAGGCCTGTCGTGAAGGACATCAAAGTCGACATCCAGGTCAATTCTATGAAGGCGGACGTCGGCAAGAACCTACTGCTCGGTGAGCTCAACCGTGTCTTTTGCATCAGCTTGCGTCCTTCACGAGGTGTAATCCATTCAAACGTTCATATCATCACAACGATACGCTGACAGTCTGCGCAGTCAGTGGTCCAACAATGACTACGAGAACTATGCGACACAACAGGCAAGCATTTGTCCGACCATTCATTCAACAGCTCTGCATCATTCATTCAACGGTTCTGCATTTGTCCGGTCATTCATTAAACAGCTCCGCATTTGTCTGGTCATTCATTCAACGGTTCTGAATTTGTTCGCTCACTCATTTAACAGTTCGTCATTTGCTTGGCATTTGTGCATGCAGATAGAGTGAAGGTGCATACAAACGTGCTTATTTCCCGTATGTCCCTCCTCTCTCTCTTCCGTTGTTGGATCTAATTCATCGGTAGCCCTGCTTCCGTTTGACATTATTTTCACTGGGCTACATATCCTGTCCGTCAAGTTAACATCAGACTGGGGTCAATGTCATTACAAATTGTACATCCCGTCGAAATGAAAATGTTTTATTGCGGTTCGACATCACGCCTGGGAAATCCCAGAGCACCACTGGTCTGGTCACGGGTCCCGCCACCACCGCATCTCGGTCTGGTCACGGATCCCGCCGCCACTGCATCTCTGGCTGGATCGCACTCTCCTCGTCGCCATGCGCGGTTTTCAATGTATTGCCTCTTGCTTCTGGTAATATGCGGAGACCAATGCAATGGCTGCGAAAAGTCCAATGACATAATGACCTGCGAAAACTGTTAAACCAGCACTAATTTCTTACATTGTAGCATTGCAGTGACGCAATAGACACAACTAAATAATTTAGATAATTTGTGAGATTTGAGACAGTTTGGAAACAGAGATCACTGTCATTGAACTAGTGAAAAATCTGCTGTATGTGGGTCCTGCATCTTTTATTTTATCTTAGTTTAACTTGTACCATTATGCTTGTCCTGATGACGGCACGCGATGTATCAAAACGTTGGCAACTACATAAATGATAGCGACTGCTGTTCTTGCCATGTATTCTGTCCCAATTGGTCACTACCACCATCTGACCTCCATTACTTGTGGCACACCTTCCCCTCCCCCCCCCCCCCACATCGTCCCGGCATTAAAATAGGTTACGCCCTAAAATTCGTCTACAGTATTCCAAGCCTCGCATTCCCGCTCATTTTGTATCGCTGTCTAATTCCGTGGCGCCACTGTTTTAGTTCCAGGCTTGACTCATCATCGTGAAGACGTATAGAAGAATGCCTTTCAAATGAAGCCACCATGAGCTGCAATTTGCGAGAGCATTCCTGTATGAGTGAGTCCACGCTGCCTTCTGTGTTTCAGGTTCTCTGGTGGAAACCTGGATCAACAACAACGAAAAACTGAACAAAGAAACCCTGCCGTGGCTGGCAAGGTTGATGCGGTTTTGGCTGAAGAGCATACTGACCAAATATTTGAATGGCTAGACTGGGTCATGACCTCTTGAGACTTACGGTTGAATCTTGAGCTCAGTTCTGTTAGCATTTGCAGTTTACAGTCTCATCTTGCATCACACAACACTTAAGTGCCGTTAATAACCGGTCACCCATTGCGTTCAAATTCATTTTTGCACTGATTCATAGTACATCCTCGATACAGAACCATGAAAAACAACTATATATTGCTCAAACATGCTGTTATTGCGTGAACATTGATCTAAATATTATGACTGCAACCATGTGGCTGCGTGGACATTAAGGTTACAAGCAGCACGCTTGAAGCGAACGTCAAGCGTAGAGCGTGGAGAGCGAACGAGACTGCATGAAGAAGTCGGAGCGGAATCGGAAGTCCTTTTTATCCATGTCCTCTTGGCTGCTGACCAGTCGAGCGGCGGCCACAGCACATCCAGACACATCCCAGTGAGCCCAGGCGCACCCCAGCGAGGCCAGGCACATCTCGGCGAGTCCAGGCACATCCCGGCGAGTCCGGGCACATCTTATCGAGCCAGGCACATCACGGCGAGTCCAGGCACATCCCGGCGAGTCCAGGTACATCCTAGCGAGTCCAGGTATATCCCAGCGAGTCCA